AACCCCCCACAACTGATCCATCCCTGCAAGAACCCACAACTCCCCTGCCTTGGGAGGCACGAGCTCACTGAGGTGACGTACAAAGTCAAGCTTCAGCTTATTGCGTCTCTGGTGTCTTTATGAATTTAACAGTCAGCTTTTTCAAGTGTAAAAGACAGCATTAAACCTGGGAGAAGGAAGCAGAACCCCAGCCCAGCGCACATGCACACACGCGCACACACACACACAATCCTGAATTTTATTACAGCCTTGCACATCATATTAAGAAACAAGAACTGAGGTCCAGGGTACAACACAAAGGGGAAACTTCTACTTGCTTGGAAAGACTACAGGTCTTGTCTACACCTTGATCCAGGCCCAGGTGGTGCCACCTACCTATGTGGTGGTGATGGGGCATCAGTGAGTTAAAAAAAAAAAAATCCCTAAGAGGAGCCCCATTGGTCTTAACTGTTGCCAGTGTCAATTTGGACATGAGCCAGGGCGCTGTAAGCTACAAGAAAAAGGGCAGGGGAGGGCAATCTTCCTTTTGATGTATTATCAGAGAATGAGGAACCAGTGTTAACACCAGAGTTAAGATGGCAAAGTGCCAGGACTGGATCCAACAGCTCTAAATGCAAGCTCATGGCCCCAATTTATCAGATAGGAACGGGTGGGGAGGAGAGGCTCATAAACTCTGCCCCACTGTGCCCTTCCCAGGGGAGGAATGATAGCTAGTATATCATGTTTGTATGATCATTGGGATTGCTTTGCTGACTGTGTGAAATGATAGCAGGTGCTCTGTCTCAGCAGGGCATGTAATTACTGCTGGGAGCTCCTTGAGAAGCAGGCCAGTGCCATCTACCTGGCAGAATGCAAGGTAGCATCTGTCTGTGTTCAGCTTATGGATTCTGACTGATGCCGGAAACTCTTTAGTATTTTCTCACCTTCACAGGAGGTAACAAAGGGCTAACATTAGGCAAAATCAGTCAAAAGTAATCCAAAGCTTCCCAGCCTGTTGGGCTGATGTGCTTCAGGTGCACAGGTTTCTTAGCCAACGGCAAAGGGAATAATGTGACCAGAATTACTTCAAGCTACTTTTGAGTACCCATGCTAAATGGCCAGGCACTTATTTCCAGCTGGGTTGATTGTGAGGAAGTCTTTGGCTTGAGTCCCAAGCAGGGCATGAACTTGTGTTTCTGGAGCCACAGCAAGAATCCCTCAACCACTCGGCCACCACAGCCTGGCTAATCCTGGGGTAGTTAATCTTTGAGATGCTCCATTCAAAGGGAGTACCTATAAACAAAGAGCTGGCAGTAGCCCAAGGTGACATTTTACAATAAAGAGTCATTGACTAAATATTGAAAGTGTTTGTGGAACATGGATTAGAGGCAAAGCTACCCCATTTCACATAAATGTCCCCAGATCCAAACTCACATGTCATGTGTGCATACTGTCTCTCTCTGTCTCTCACGTGCAAAGTACAATGGCTTCAACAGGAGGGAGTGGGCATGCATGACCCTCTCCTCTCCCAGAACTGTCTAGTAATTAAAGAACATTTCTAGGAGGTAAGAAGTACAGGTGTCCCATCAACTGGAAAGAAATCATCTCCATCCTGGGTAACTGCTCCAACCACAGAACTCTAACAGGATGGTAGGAGCTAATAGGATCACTTGTGCTTTAAAGGAAAATGGGGTATGATAACATTATTCACCAAACCCAAGCTGATCTGGTCCCTCAGAATCCAGCTACCAGATGGAGTTAGTTGGCTCACTGGTTAGCTCACCTGCCAGAGTCATGGGAGAACTGGGGCAAACTGCTTCTCACTAAACACATTCACCACTAGCAGCAAGGGTAGAAGATGATGGCTCCTCCTTCATCTCTTTAGCCCAATGACTCATTAATTACTCCAGGCAAAGTGAATGTGATATGAACATGAATACCTGGAAGACTCGAGCACTGAATCTTCCCCAATGGCACTGTGAAGTATGACAAAGCATCGGCCATTTTGAGCAAACTCACCTCACCATGGAGGCAACTAGGCCAGAATGATAAGAGGAAAGCTCTGTGACCCAACATCACCAGGATCCACTCCTTCCTTCTACAACTGTATGCCATGTGAAACATGCAGATCTTGGATTGGCCTCTTCAGTTGTCTCCAGACTCACTGATGACTTCCATATCATCTGGAAGAATGTCATCCTGGTATCAAGGGACTGTTGGCAACAACGAAGATGTTAATTAGTCAAGGCAAGTGCAACACAAGCTGAGAGAGCACCCAAGCACAGAGCACTGCAGCACCGAAGTCTTTTTGTGGATCCTGTTATTACCAACTATCCCTCTCTGCTACACGTGACTCCAAGACAGGTCACACATTTTACCAAAATCACCTCCCAGTCGCAAAAAATCTGTAGTTCTATCAGTTAAACGCACTGAGTTCAGACTTACTGAATCTTGTGCATTGGCTTTATTTGTCATTTCAGTTCCACCTTCAAGGAACTGGCATCTAGTTCTGGCTCTTGACAACAAGACTGGCATTTTGGCTAGCAGCCTTGGACTATGGGTCTGACTGTCAAATTAGACTACCCAGACCCCAGTCAGTGGCAAGCACTGCCAACATGTTTGTTCTGGTGGCCTGTTAGGTACAGCTGGTTGAACAGATGAATGTCCCACCATGTTAAACGATAGCAGCTTGCTCAGGGAGTGGCAAGCCTGCGCTAGAAGCCCCTTCTTTCAGAGGTGAACAACGTGGTTGTGCAAGGGGACTGAAATGGTCACTTGGTTCTTTACCAGTGATCTCCCTCTGCTTCTTGACACCACACCCCCACCCCTCTCCACATGTCCGTCCCCAACTATCATTTGTTTCTCAAGATGCCTAGACATTACCACAGATCCCCCTGCTCTGCCACCACATTGCCATTCGGCTCAAGCCCTGCTCTTTCTCATTCTCCTCACGCATCCTACCACCCCGTGATCACCAAAACCCCAATATGCCCCTTTATTGTCCTGAGCCCTGGTAGCATGTTGCTGAGGCTGCCAGCAGCACTGGAAGCAGAGAAGAGCTGAGAGAGGTGAGCAACCACAGTGGTGAACTATAGGCATAGCTCCTTAGAGATGTGAGGAATGGAAAATAGTTACTGCAAGACAAAAGTGGCCAAGGGATAGAGGCATCTCAAGGGGAAGAAAAGAGAAGTGAGAAACCAAGGCTAAATATAGACATTGAAAAAGCCCAAGCCTGAATTGATTCACCCTTTGCAGGTTAATCTAAGCTGCATAGGTTGAACCAAGAAGCAAATGAACAGACAGTCACTTTTGATTGAGGCAATGCAGCCACATGCCTGCAATGACTCAGGCTAGAAGCCAAGGGACGCTAGAACGAGCCCTCCCTTCCCTTAGGCACTGGCCAGAAGGCTGGAGAGAAGCTGAGTTGGTGGGAGAGTGTGGTCAGGCCCTGGAGGGCCACTGAGTATGACTGGGAAGGGGTTTAACCCCCCACCCTGGTCTACAGAGATCCCAGGAAGGGTCTGCCTGGAGGGGGAGGGGGGAAGCAGCCCTTGCCAGGTTTGTCCCCAAGCAGCAAGAGGCATGGCCAGATGGCGACCCAGGCAGCGCCTCAGGCAAATGGAGTGGGGAGGGAGGGGGGTTAACCCTCCTGCCTCCCTTCTCCCACCAGCTGGAGTCCTCAACTAGGGTTTGCTGGCTCCCCCGCCCACCAGCGGTGGAGGGCATGGCCAGCCAGTGGCCCAGGAAGCACTTCAGGCAAAAGGGGAAGGTGGGGGAGAGGCGGTGGAGGGAGGCTGCTTCAGCTACTGGCTGCCCACGCCCCCACCATTCGAGAACAAACCTAGCAAGGGCTGCTTCCCCATTCCCCCTCCAGGTACACCCTGGCTGGGGTCCCTGCAGGCCAGGATGGGGGGGTTTAAACCAGACGGCCTGGCCATGCTCCTTTCCACTGGAGCAGCAAGCAGGCAGGAAAAGCCAGCAGCTCCCAGCTGGGGTCCCGTGGTGGTGAGAGAGGGGAGGCATGGGGGTTTAAGTCCCCTCCCTCCCCTTGGCCTGAGACTGCTGTCCCACGCCCCCACCCTGTCCACTCCAGCTGGGAAGAGTCTGGCAGGGGCTGCTCTGCCCATGCCAGGCAAACCGGGCTGCATCTCCAGCCAGGTTTCCCACCCCCCACTCCCTTGTCAGCCAGCCCGCACTGCTCTGGCTCGAGAGCAGAGGGGTGGGCCCAGCCCTGCTCTGCTCATGCAAACTGCACAGCCAAGCCCAGAGCTGCAAAGCATCCTGGGATACTGGGGGACTGTGATTTAACTTGAACCAGGACAGGGTCTGGGACAGAAGTTCCATAAACTCATTTGACCTAAATCAGTTACATCTCATACTACATTCAGCCAGGTTTATCTTAAGGTAGCTTTGACCATTTTGAAACTGCTGTATGTGCACTGAACTTCTGTTCTGTTACAGGTTTAAACCAGTTTCTGATCACTTAAACTGGCTTAATGTGTAACTTCTGACCCTAGCCAACACTAAATTTTAAAAAGAAAACACTTTTCCAAGCTACTTCTGAGCTTCAGAAAGCCGGCATGATGAAATGCACCCATTCAGGTGTGAAAAACATGGCTTTTAGTCCTGAAATGAAATGCTTAACCTAACAGTTGACTTATGACATGTCTAATACCTCCAAAGCATGTTCCATTTTGAAAAAAAAACAAACCAAAACTGCCATGCCAGGTCGTAGGCAACCAGGTCTGGGGCTTACCTCAGAGTCAGAAAAAGCAGCTGAGGTCCAAGGGGAGTGTGCTGAGGGAAGCCAGAAGCTGGACAATCCATCCAAGGAACTGAGTCAGAGATCCAGGTCACAGAACATGGGGTCAAGAAGCTAGCTGGGTCAGGCATCCACAAAATCAAACCAGATTTGGGTCGGGTATCCAAAGGGTCAGGCCAAACTTGGGGTGTATGGGCAAACCAGGTCAGGTATCCCGCGAGTCTGTCGGGAAGCCAGTAGCAGAACAAGCCGAGGGTATAGCAGCCTAGGAACAGGGTTGAACCTTGTTACCCAGACACTTCCTTTTCTGGGTCAGGGGTTTATATATCGGAAGGGATGAGCCCACTCCAGTGGCAGGGAGTGGGCATGTGGCTGGGCCCACTTGGAGGGTGCTGGCCACCTGCGTCCACGCCAGTGCTCTGCTGAGGATGAGTGGCTGTGCCACAAGCTAAGACCACGGGTATAAGGCCATAGTCTGACACACACAAACCATAACTTTCTTGGTATTTTAAACTAGATTAGTTGTGCTGCTTTTTCAAAAAAATATTCCTGCTACATGGGGCCTGGCCAGTACACCAGACATAATTCCACTGCCTTCATCAAAATCATTCCATTACCTCAGTATAACAGTAATAAAACAGGTCCTTTGAACCAATTCTTCCCCCAGAGTCATACTCATCTAGCAACTTCAGTCAGAGTTTTACATATGCAAATTTTAAAATGAATGTTTTTATAGAGCCACTGGGCCACAGCTGATGCAGACCTGATTCATGCTTCCCAGTTTTGTGGAAAAGTTTTCATCTGTCCACAAACTTTATAATAGACTGAGTACAATCCCCAAGGCCAGATTTTGGAAATGGCTCCAGCTCTAAAATAAATACAGTAAAACATATATTAAAGTCACTAACCAGATAATGATGGAAGGACCCTAGAGCTAATCAACTATTTATTTTCCAACAGAAATTGCTCCTGCTTCACATGGAGGCAGATTAACTAACTAATGAACTTGCCCCTGAATAAATAATGCATATAGTTAAACAAAATAGTTCTGCTGCTGCTTTGTACACGCAACTGAAACACTGCAGATGAACTTTCAGCTGACATTTAAACGGTGACACTTGAATGCATTCTGGACAGACTATGAGGATTCATCTAGGACTTATAAAATGTTTATATAAATTACCATTGTTCATGTGAAAAGTTCAGAGCTGCATGCATCTCTTGTCACAGCAGTCACTAGGACCTGCCTGTTGTTAGACATTGCTAGAAAAAGGCTTTGTTTTGTGCCTTCAGTTAAGTAGTGATTTAAAGAACGTTCGCCTTCAAGTCTGAAAGCAATATGGCCTAATTGGCATTTCTGATGAAACAAGATTAGATAAGCCTGTCTTCCCAGCATACAAGTTATTGATTCCCTCTCAGGACCAAATACACTAAACACATTTTCGGTGTTTTTTAATCATAAAGTAAACTGCAGTCCAAATCCTGAATAATGAATACACAATACACTTCTAGATGAATGAGCTGAACAAATTAGAGGAAAATAGTTTAATTGGATAATCTCTCACAATGTACTAGGGGCTTTTTCTTATTTAACATTTTTTTTCATTTAAATACAGGGGGATTTATTGCTAGTTACCCACAGAACACATGCATCTTTTCCCATTAGTGTGCTCCAATTCATGTCTAGACTAGAAAAACAGGCCACATGCCAAAAATGTTTTATAACTACTGTATTTACATAAATCCAAGATGACTTGGAATTTAAGATGCCCTCCCCCTGACAATTAGAGTATATACATAGAAATTTTTTTTTTGTTTTTTTTTTAATTTTTCATGTATAGAACTTAATTCATAGATTCCTGGATCATTAGGGGCTGGGAGGAAACTCGCAGATCATCGGGTCCAGCCCCGTCACTCCAGGCAGGAAGACAACTGGGATTATGTGACCCCAGCAAGGTGACTGTCCAGTCTCCTCTTAAACACCTCCAGGGTAAGAAACTGCACCACCTCTAGAGGGGGTTTATTCCACAGTCTGGACACCCTGACTGTGAAGGAGTTTTTCCTGGTATTAAGCCTGAAGCGGCCTTCCAGGAGTTTATATCCATTGGTCCTGGTCTTCCCCAGGGGTGCCCTAGTGAACAGTTGTTCATTGAGCTCCTGATGCACTCCTCTGATATAGCGGTAAGCTGTTATCAAGTCCCCTCTCAACCTTCTCTTTAGGCTAAAGAGGCCCAGGTTCCTCAACCTCTCCTTGTATGGTTTGCCTTGCAAGTCCCTGATCATATGAGTGGCTCTTTTCTGGACCCTCTCAAGTTTTTTCACGTCCTTATTGAAGTGCAGCACCCAGAACTAGACGCAGTACTCCAGCTGCAGTCTTACCAGTGCCAAGTACAGCGAGAGTATCACTTCTGTTTACACGAGATGCATCAGTTGATGAATGTCAACGTGTTGTTTGCCCTGCTGGCCACCGCATCGCACTGACAGCTCATGTTTGTACAGTGGTCAGTCATTACCCCTAGGTCCCTTTCAGTTATGGTGCAGGGCAGGCTGTCACCTCTGAGCCTGTATGTGTGTTGAGGGTTATTTGTCCCCAGGTGGAGCACCATACACTTGGAAGTGTTAAACTTCATCCGGTTCCAGTCCGCCCAACTCTAGCCTGTCCAGGTCTGCCTGTATCAGCAACTGATCTTCTGGTGTGGCCACACTGCCCCATAATTTGGTGTCATCCACGAACTTGGCCAGTGAGCTTTTCACTCCCCCATCCAAATCATTGATAAAGATGTTGAAAAGCACCGGTCCAAGCACGGACCCCTGAGGGATACCACTGGCCACTTCACACCAAGACAACACAGATGCATTCATGAGAACTCTCTGGGTCCTACCCTGTAGCCAGTTTCCCACCCACTGAACAATCGAGCAGCTGAGCCCACAATCTTCCAGTTTTCCCACAAGGATATCGTGGGATACTAGATCAAAAGCCTTTTGGAAATCTAAGTATACAACATCTACCTCATCCAAGTGGCAAGAGACCTGGTCGTAGAAAGAGATAAGATTAGTAAAACAAGACTTACCTGCAACAAAGCCATGCTGGCTGTCATTCAGAATCTGACCTTCGGCAAGTGTATTGCGCACAGATTCTTTAATGAGCTTTTCCAGGATTTTCCCTGAAATAAAGGTTAGGTTGATTGGCCTATAGTTACCTGGGTCCTCCCTCTTCCCCTTCTTAAAGATGGGCACAATGCTGGCCCTCTTCCAATCCTCAGGGATTTCACCTGTGAACCACAAATTCTGAAAGCGTTTTGCCAGGGGTCCCACAATGACCTCAGCCAGCTCCTTCAGCACTCTCGGATGAAGTCCATCTGGTCCCGCTCACTGATAAACATCTAGCTTTTCTAGTTGGTATTGCACCCGCTCAGCATCCACAGTGGGGAGGCTGTCACTCCCAGCATGCCCTCTATGAGCTTTATCTAGCTTGACTTTCCCCATGCTCCGGTGAAATACTGAAGCAAAGTGGGTATTCAGCAGTTCAGTTTTTTCCTGAATGTCAGTTACCAGCTGTCCCAAGGTGTTAAGCAGGGTCCCACACTTTCATTTATTTCCCTTCTACTGCCTACATAACTAAAGACTTCTTATTGTCCTTTTGAAGTATTGGAGTATTTATTAGAGCATCCTCTTAAATTCAACCTTCCACCACTACGGCGAGGAAAGTAGCAACAGAGAGCGAGAGGCCAGACCCCAACCTGTGCCAAGCCGCATGCAGCAGGTGCCCCCCGCATGCCCCACCACATCTTCACTCCCCTTGCCATATGCCTCCTCCCCTGCTGCACAAGTCACCCCCAGCCCAGGCAGGCAGCAAATCAACTCCACCTTTAGCCTTGGGTCCAGGGCCAAGCTGGAGCTGAGCTGCTGCCTGCCCCAGGGCACTGCTCGACTCAAAGGGTGCATCTACGTGCGATGTGTTAATGCACATTAGCCTAATTTAATGTGCATAACAGGCATGTGTCTACACTTGCATACCCTTAATGCACATTAAAATGGTGAAATTAAGCTAATCAAACCTAAATTTGATACCTACAAATGCAGGTATCAAATTAGCATGACATTAATTAAAGCACATTAATGCACTTGTAGACATGACTCAGCACTAACTTTATTGTTGGGTCTGCCCAGCCACTAGACATGGCAGGGCTGCAGGGACTTGGGACTAACTTCAGTACCAAGTGCACTAACTTTAGTCCCAAATCCTTGCATGTGTAGACACCTGCCAAAAAATGCTTAATGTACATACATTTAGTCATGCTTAAATACATGTGTAGACGCACCCTAAGACAAGGATATTTCCCCTATGTTGATCAGAGAGGGGAAAAAAACTCTTCTTGGATTCAAGTAAAGACAGCATTTGGATAGATCTATGCTGTAGTCACAGCAGCAGTTGCTGTATGGTATGGATATAAGGCACACCAGCAAGTTTTAGACTAGTTGGGCACCAGATCTAGGATGTTTAAAATTGGGAAGCTGGCAATAGGGCAGGCAGAATTTGCACCCTGGGCAGCAGATTTGTACCTGACATGGTTTGTACCTTGGGGCACTGGAATGGAAACTTGGGCAGAGAGGGGCAGAGCAGGATGTTGCTACAGTCAACTGATAAGTTAACCCTCCCCTGGCTCTGCAACCATTGCAAATGAAGATCCAAAGTTTTTAAGTTCAGTAGTAGCTGCACAGCCAGGGGAGGGTTGCTGGCCAAAGCCCTCCATACCTCCCCTCACAGCAACAGCAGCAGCACCAGCATCTCTCATGAAGGGAGACGGTAGGTGAGGAGTTGACCAGAGCCTTGAGTCCCTCTGCCTCCGCCCTGAGACCTACCTATACTGAGCACCGAAGGCTAATGTCTCAGGCACCTGCCCTTACTTACACTACTGGGAGGAGGAATCAAAATGGGGTGCAACTGCACCACCATGGCCCCCAGATCCATCCCCTGTTGCTAGGTACCAGGAGCAATCTAGCCACAGCATCACAGCACACAGCACAGAATACTTTAATCTGCTTTCCAGGCACATTTTGCCACCTGTGTCAAGCACCTAGACTGCTACTAGATTGGACCTGGCTAATTTAAAACTAGTTTGGGCACATCAATGCTGCACTACCAGGCAAAGTTGGGCTTTCCACCTAGTGTTTACAAGTATGTATTAACCCTAGGCCTCGTCTTGAGCTAAGCGCAACCAGGTAATCCAAATTTAAATATGATTTTCCTGTCTACACTGGGTTCAAAGCCCTTCTCATATGCATGTCAGGCAAAACAGTTTGAAATAACTTATTATCCAATTGTAAATATATCCCTCGTCACTTCATCTGTAAGCAGCCAAGAGAAGCTCAGAGTATCTTAGGCAGGGGTGTCAAACATATGATCTGAGGGCCAGCCTTGGCCCATGGAGCCATTTGATCCAGCTCGTAGATGGCTAGACCAACGCCATGCTGCATCAGCATGCTACATACAGTGTGCTTGCAGGACAGGGGGTCAGTCCTGGGCACCACATGCAGCCCCCATCCCAGACCCCATGCTGTATGCAGCACCAGGTGCAGCCCACACACTACCAGTACCATATGCCCCATGCCAGCACCAGGAGGCTGTATACACAGCAAGCCCTAGGGCCGACATATGCTGCCCAGTGTGCAGGGCTGGGCCAGTCACATGTCCAGCACACGATACAGAGCACCAACATGGGGCACACACTACATGCAGCGTGTGTGCCCAACCCACAGCACACTGGCTGGCCAGCAAGGTACTGCACAGAGTACGCACCCCTACCAGCCCTGTGCTACATGCTAGACCAGTGGGTCCCAGGGCTTGCTGTGCACATAGCCCTCTGGGGCCAAAGCAGGGACCGTGGCTACTCCACAGGGGTCTATTGGGCAGACCAGGCCTGACCCATCTCAAGGATGCTCATACAGCCCACAGGGCTGAAGGCATTAGGACCCCGGGTCCAAGGCATTTCATTGCTGGACTCCTCTTTATTCATTAATTGATTTTATATAGGGTCACTTTCCCCATGAAAACTGGAATGAGACCAAATACGCTTCACACAAACCAAATAATCATTATAGTCGACACTTATAGTAGCAGCATGCTAGTACTTCGGAGCTATGTTGCTATTAAGTGGTTGTTGCTATTACAGGGCACGTCATCTGAATACATGGTGTGTAAAATATTGCCAGGGAAATGTTGCTGGTAAAAAGGTCTCTGGCTCTTAGTGACTGTGACTGCAAAGAAGCATCAACTGTAAAGGTAACGGTTTTCAACTGCTACAAACCTACACTGGTTATGAATCGGCAATATACAGCAAAGATGGAAAGCTTCACCCACAGTCCATTTGTTACTCCACTGGACTGTTTTTTTTTTTCCTTTCACTGAAGAGAAGAGATCCCACCTAAGAGGAATTTCTCAGACATGCCTAACATTACATTTTTCTTTTAAATGAATAAGGTACACTTACATTAGGACTTCCACAAGCTTTCCACAAGTTGTTTTGCCTTTGAGAAATGTGCAAGTGTCATTGGAGTCAAATTTTGATATAAAGGTTTAGTGTTATGTAAACCACAGGAGGGAAGAAAATGTTAGAGCTAGATTTTTTAAACAAAGGTGTGACGCGTGCATGGGATTGTGACCAGTGTCATATTTTCCATGAAGCCTCCTATTGGGTTTTTCATAAGATCTACACAAAAAAGATTGTAAAATAGGAAGCGAAGGCCTTTTCTCACAGAGGCTAAAAGGGGACTTCACTCTCCTTGGGAGCCAGAAGCATTTCACTACATTTACTCACGTTTGCAAAAATCAGCCCTCCAAAATTGGAGAGCATGTCTTAAGTGGGGAAGCTGATTTTTCTTCACTGGAATAGAAGCAGGGAGATACTGCTCTAAGATGGCTGCCATGCTTCCCCCTCTGCCAGCCTTAAGGAGGGAAGGGATGGAGTTCATCCTTCAGGGTCAGAGCTATAGTGTTAAACTTCAGTCAGGATCCCATGCAGTCAGCATTCAGCCACAACTAAATCAATCTTTTTCTGTTCGTTCTGCCTCATGTACTGCAAGCAACAGTGCAAGTAAGGCCCAAACCTTTTTACGAGATCAAAAACCAAGCTAGAACCTTGACTCTACAGTCTTTTACCTTCCAACATTTACAGGTACGAATATTTAAAAAGAAAAATGAAAAGGTACAAGAGAGGGATCTAATCACCTTTTCAAAAGAAAAAAAGAATGAATGTAATGTGTCAGGTACTGCTCTGGTTCCTGAGACTCCTTTGTCGATACATGAGGGTTTTATAAATCACATTTTCTATTCCACTAATTTTCTCTCCTTTGGTGCTATGTGAAACACCCACATAAAACATTTTAGGATAAATGCCTATAAAGGGAAACAGTGAAATGGATTGCACGAAGTGCCAGCTGCACAATGGAAAAGTGGTAACTGCCTTGTTTTCATAGATACATAGATTTCTAGAGTCGGAAGGGATCTGGTAGATCATCAGGTCTGACTCCCTGCTCCAGGCAGGAGAGCACTGGGGGGGTTAGGTAACCCCAGCCAAATGCCTGTCTAATCTCCTCTTAAACATCTCCAGGGTAGGGGAGAGCACCACCTCCTTTGGGAGCCCATTCTGTATTTTGGTGACCCTTACTGTAAATAATTTCTTCCTTATGCCCAATCTAAATCTGTTCTCCTTCAGTTTGTGGCCATTATTTCTGGTAACCCCAAGGGGTGCTCTGGCAAAGTGTCCCCTATTCTCTACTGGTCCCCCTGATGAATTTCATAGATTTCATAGACATTTGGGCTGGAAGGGACCTCGCAAGATCGAGTCCAGCCCCCTCCCAAAGGGCAGGAAGTCAGCTGGGGTCATAGGATCCCAGCAAGATAAGCATCCAATTTGCTCTTGAAGGTATTCAATGTAGGTGCTTGAACCACCTCCGATGGCAGGCTGTTCCATACTTTGGGGGCTGGGACAGTAAAGAAATTCTTCCTTATGTCCAGCCTGAAACTGTCTTGCAGTAGTTTATGACCATTCGACCTCGTCATCCCTTGGGGCGCTCTGGTGAACAAATGTTCCCCCAGATCCTGGTGGTCACCCCTGATAAACTTATAGGTGGCCATCAGATCACCCCTGAGCCTGCGCTTTTCCAGGCTAAAGAGCCCCATGGCTCTCAGCCTGTCATCATAAGGTCTGTTTTCCTGACCTCTGATCATGCACGTAGCTCTTCTCTGCACCCTCTCAAGCTTCTCCACATCCTTTTTGAATTGTGGAGCCCAAAACTGGACGCAATACTCCAGCCTGTAGGCAGCCACAAGATGGCATCTGAGCCTTCTCTTGTGGAGGCTGAAGAGATTCAGATCCCTCAGTCTGTCTTCACAGGGGCCTCAACCATATAAGCAGCCCTTCTCTGAACCCTCTCAAGGTTATCCACATCCCTCTTGAAGTGTGGCACCCAAAACTGGACACAGTACTCCATCTGCAGCCTCACGAATGCCACATAAAGGGGAATTATCATTTCCCTAGACCTGCTTGTGATGCTCCACTTCCCTACCTCCCTTCTCTTGTTCAGTTAGAGTAATCTTAAGGGTTACTTATAAAAGCTAGAAAGTAAAACATGTCAGGAAAAAAAAGTGATTTTAAGTGTTTCCAAATTAGGAATTTTCAAGAGGTGTAGATTAGCTGTCTGCCGCTGTACAAGTGTTATTTTTAATTTAAATCAGACAGTTTTTTTGTAGGCAAACATCCATAATCCAGTACAGTTTTGTTCTTAACTTCAAATTTATATATTTATCCCCAGAGTTTCTTCATCCAATAAGATTTATTGTCGTTAGCATGACCACTGTTAGAAGTGGAAAAGGTCTGTTTATCATTTGCACACATAGATATGCAACTTGAGCAGGCAAAATGCCTCCTCTTGGGAAATGCATACCATTTTCAATTTCCACTGAGTAGAGGGGCTAGGAGGTGCTTCCCACTATATTCAGGATCAAGTCCAAAAAGATAAAAGATAGCTTTGATGGCTAGGAAGACAGTAGTAAAAAAATGCTTCTAATTGTGATGAAGCATTTCAATCAGGATCAACACGATATCCTCCAGTGCCCTCAAGCTTCTGTCACAAAGGCTCCTTGCAGAAATGGGAAAAAAAAACCAAGCAAACAAACAGCACTTTATTTTAAACTCGGTGAGCTCCTGCACCAAGACCAGTGCATGCCCAGAAGTGCCAGTGTGTTAACTGGACTCAGCACTCCCAACATCTGTACACAGCAAGCACTTTAGTGGGGATTTTTTTGGTGCTTTTATCTCTGCATTTCAGAATTTCTATCCAATAACTCAGAGAAACCACTTTTGGCAAGTAGCACAGCACTGCTACTGCTAGTAAAGTCACGTTCAAGGTTATATAGCTGTTAACCATAGTCTTTGAAAGCGACTTGCTTTTCTCTGTATGTTCAACTGTTCCAAAGCAGTTCCATAGTATTTAATTTCATACCAGTAGACAGTCTGAAGCCAGTAAATATTAGTGTGTCAGGCTAGTCTTACATGAGTTTTTCCTTGAACGTAAATGGAAATTGTGTTCAATAAATGTTTCACTGTAAGAAAGTGGCATTAGGACGCCTAATAATTTCCTTAGGCTGCTAAAAGTCTCAAAAGACAACTTTCCTTTTCATAACCTGCCCTAAAGATTAAAGTCTGGAGTACCATCAAAGGAAAATTGTTCGGTCACATATATACAGTCAAGTAGTAACTACTTCGGCCTCAAATACAAGAAAGTATTCAAAAGTGTTTTTCCATCATGTTTCAGTATACCTGCTCATGCTAATCTGTTCGAGGCTGTGCCACAAATTACTTCCTGAGAATGATGTTGTGACACTATCCAATACGAACACTGCAATTGGTTCACCAAGAAACACTCTGGACACTATCGCAGCCCACCAGAACACTTCATTAAATCTATTTTTATTGAAAAATATTTACACATCAAGCACCACACTGTGAACTAATTTTTCAAGTTATTTTATTGGAATATTTATCGTGAATGATAAATGAAAACAGAAAATTGGTATCCACACATACTATATACTTTGAAAGAAAATACCTTCAAAAGGCATCTTTTCCCAATCTGCAGATACTTCAGCAAGTTCTCACACCAAATGCGCTGGGTTTCCACAATGTTTGTGCCACAAATCAATAGCTTTGCTCACAATCGCATCTGTGTTGTCTTGTGGAATCTAGAAGAGATCAGGGCAGGGGAAGGGGGATTAATTGATTGACTAATTTAAATTTGACTAAGTAAAATCTTGAAAGCCCCAGTTGACGTTAAAAATGCTAAAAACAAAAACCCCAGTCTCTCCAATTACTCAAGACCTCTGTTTCATTCCGTTCACTCCAGATTCTTACCTGGTTGTCAATCTTCCACAAAAACAAAACATGTATAACAAATGAGACTCAGAAAAGCACAAATTCCCTTCAGACAGCCTACCAGCTTGCTTGTATAATCAACTAGCCTTCCTGGGAATTTGCAGAAGATCCTAATCCATTTTGAGGGTGCACTTGTATATCCACAGAGATCCCTTTGGCCCCTCAAATAGAATAGGATTCAGTAGTGAGAAATAACAAATCTTAGCTTGATAGGTATGTCACAAACTAATACAGAGGTACACAGATAGACTAGCAATTTCCAGCACATATCTAGACATCTATGGAAACCTTGGCTCAGATGGGAATGCCACCAGTGGGACAATAAGGGGAACTACTGTAGAGTAGATCTCCTCACCACAATAACTTCTGTGGATTCTTCTATGTGACTTCAATCTGCCCCACTGAAGTAAATCCTTGCATATTCATTTCCAAAACCCAAGGACTAGATAGGAATCCACGAATCTGGGGGAAACTTTCTGAAAAACTTCTAAAAGAAGATGCTAACATTTGGGTGACTTCTAAAGCTATTAGGATGGCCACTTTTTTGTTTTGTTTTATCATTTAAAATGTAAGTGTATACATGTTTATTTAGTGATAATATAAAAAACATTTGAATTTGCTGGGTCTGATTTAGGAAAAATGTCAGTCAATCTCAACTCAACCTATCTTGACAGCATGGCTAGTCCTCAGAGCAGTGGGGGATACCATAATTCCAGATTTCACAATGAAATGGGGTAAATGATAGGTTTTCACTTGCAAACAATATTTTACACTGCTGATAAAATCCAAGGTGTACTTACATTTTCCAGAAACTGGGTGATTTTTTCTGCATTGTTTAGGGCCATGATCTTCATTTTGAAGGTTAATAAAATCTCCACAGCAACAAAAACAAGAATCTTGCAGGATCCACTAATAACTTTATCCCAAACCCTGGAGAAATAAAGTAACAAGAAGTCACCAAACAATGCTCTTCTGATTTTACCGTATTTTCTCACATACCACACACATTTTGTTTTGAGGAAAGCAGAGTGAAGAAAAAGGATTTCCAGTTTCATAGTCTCTAGGGTCAGAAGGGACCTGAGTAGATCATCTAGTCCGACCCCCTGCCATGGCAGGAAAGATTACTGGGGTCAAACGACCCCAGCAAGGTGTTCATCTAACCTCCTCTTAAAGACCCCCAGGGTAGGGGCCAGCACCACTTCTCTTGGAAGTTGGTTCCAGA